GAACAGCGATAATTAAATGGTCTAAACAACAACAAGCAGAGCTAAAAGGCACACTAGAGAGGTTGAGGAGACAAATTGACCATCACATGTCGGCTACAAACCCTGATGAATCTCACCTAAAGGCTCTTAATGAAGAATTAAGGAACACCTATTTTCAGGAGGAGGAATATTGGAAGCAAAGAAGCAGACAACTTTGGCTTAATCTAGGGGACAAGAACACTGGCTTCTGTCACGCCTCAACAAAGAAAAGGAAAGCTCACAACAAATTCTCAGTTCTAGAGGGGCCCGATGGTATCTTACTGTATTCGGAAGAAGATATCACTACAACGATGGAAAATTATTTCAATGACATTTTCAAACCTATCGAGAGGGTAACTGGAACAATGGGCGCGATCATTGACGAAGTCATACAACCTATGATCTCAGAGGAGACTAACCAGAGATTAATCAAAATACATGATAGCAAGGAGATCAAGGACGTTCTCTTCTCCATTCATCCATGGAAGGCACCAGGCCCTGGCGGCTTCTCTGCGTGCTTCTTCCAGTTCAACTGGAATGTAGTTGGTGATGACATTGTGCAGGAGGTACAAGACTTCTTCCTCTCGGGAAGTATGCCATTGACGATCAATGAAACCCACCTCCGGCTTATACCCAAGATACTCAGCCCCAGAAAGTGGCAGACTACAGGCCTATAGCTCTCTGCAACGTGAGCTATAAAATCATCTCCAAACTCCTAACCAAGTGACTCCAACCTCTCCTCAGCGATCTTATCACTGAAACCCAATCTGCATTTGTACCCAAGAGAGTCATATCAGATAATGTTTTGGTTTCTCATGAGTTTCTACACTATCTAAAGACGTCAAAAGCCAAAAAAAAACATTGTTACATGGCTGTTAAAACCGATATGAGCAAGGCCTATGACAGGCTAGAGTGGGACTTTATCAGATGTGAGCTACTATAATTTGGTTTCCACCCTATTTGGACGGAGTGGATTATGCAATGCATCACGACAGTTTCTTATTCCTTCATAATCAATGATGCAACTCGGGGGGTTTGTCAAACCAGGAAGAAGAATTTAGACAATGTGATCCCGTCCCCCCTTACCTTTTCATCCTTTGCAGCGAGTTACTTTCTAGCCTATGTACCTTGGGACTAAGGAGTGGCAAACTTAAAGGTATAAAAATCGCAATAGGAGCTCCAGCCGTTAATCATGTGTTCTTCGCAGATGACATAATGTTCTTTTGCAAGGCTAACCTCAGAATGCTCAGACACTTAAGAGACTTCTAGCAACCTATGAGACAATTTCAGGACAACTAATCAACACGCAGATCTCTAAATTCTGTCCTTTCGATCTAACAAGATTGATGACGATTTGAGAATCAGAGAAAATCGAGATCGAAGATACACCTCGATGGGGCGCAGAGGTCATGGCGTTTCGCATTGCCAAGGTTTCTGCAATAAGTGGCGACGGCACAAATGACAATTTAAGGAACCAAGCAAGCAGGCAGCTTGTGATTGTCATGGTGATGGCTACTGAAGAAGTTAGGCAAGCAGACAGGTCTTTAACATATAGTTTAATAACCAGGCTGGTGGAGGACATAGTTCACTTTAGAAATTATTTAGGAAGTTGTTTAATACTTTAAATAATTTTCCAACCAAAAGTTCCTTGTCTTCTCGTCTAGCTTAATAAAAATCCGACCATAATATTTAAGACTCGACCAAACTATTAAAGTAAGGTCTTTCAACCACAAGACAGTCCCGTCGAGAAGTTAATTAACCGGGTTGATTTTTATTTTTAATTCTGATCGATTAAACTTGAATCTGATTTTTCAAAATTTTCTCGACAAAAATTATATCCGCTCGTGAGGGTCATTACACATGGAGTCTCCATAAACCTCGCCAATCGCCTACTTCAGGAACCAAAGCGAAGTAAGCTTAAGAATCAAGTGATGAACCGGTGGAATGGTTCAAAACATAGCCAAATAAACATTGGAGCTTTACATCCGAGAGGCTACATCGACATAGCTTCACCATATGACTTAACCAAGGAACCTGGAAGCGAGGAATAGAATGGGAGTAAGTGTTGATGCCGAAAAACCGGATCGACATAAACGATATAAGAAAGACGAAGTTAAGGATATAAACGATTCTATAAGACGAACACATATATACAGTAAAACATGGAGGCGAGATAAATCTCTTTCTTTAACTCCTAATATTGGCTCTGTAGTGAGACGAAACTGTATGAATATTGAGTCCCAGGATACAACCATGGCTGACGAATCACGCTTCACTCGTGAAACGCCCTAACGAAACGAGAAATTCTACAAAACACTCTCTGAAACTTACGTTAGAAGATTTGCTGATTTTTTCTGTGTGAAAACGTTAGGAATGAAGAAACAGGAGAGACAATATTTAACGTGAAGATGAGGGTGACTTCCCGTAACGTGTGCTCATTAGTGGGGATTTGGCAAAGATCTCAGAAATTTTAAGTTACGAAAACTTATCCCCAAAGACTCGCTCACACCTTTTTTATTGTTTAAATATCTGACGAGGAAACTGCGTGACATTTTTTGATTTGCTAGACAAACTACTTGTTGTTTCAAAACAAAATGCATATTGTTTTTAAAGGGAAATGGGCCAAAACATTTAACTGAACTTGGTCCAAAAAGAGGACTTCTTATTGGACCGGAGGCCCTCCACTAAGGCTCAAGACCCAAGCCAAGCCAAGCCAAGCCGGTCGGGCGGCGGCGGCGTGCGCGTGGGGAGTCACCTCTTCCACTGAGCTGTTTAACCCATGGTATCATGGGAACATATATATACACATCTGATTTTCCCAACCTAAGCGATGTGGGACAAAGTTCTTCTTTCTTTGTTGTACAATAAGGCCACGTGATGGGCTATTTCTTTTCACAGTTTCAATAGTTATGAAGCCCATTGGCTAACTAAATGATCCAACAATCTCCCACATGAATAGAAATTACTCTAAACATATGCAGATTCGATAGGCTTAAAAAAAATTACTTATTCTAGACAGACTCATCGAAAGTGTTTGCGAAAAATTCACTATGTTTGTGTTTGTGGCTTTTTTAAGCCTTAAAGCACTCATAGTTAATATCTTTCGGGTTTACTTTACCAGAAGGTGAACATGATGTCTTGAACCAATCGGTTTTTGGGTGCTATTGTAATAGGCTTTAAACTCATTCCTTTTGATGATTTAGCAACAATATCTCGTGGCAAACCTTTAGTAAATGGATCCGCTAGGTTGTCAGCTGATTTGATGTTGTCTATTGTGATTACACCAGTTGAGATAAGTTGTATGATGGTTTTATGCATTTCGAAGAAAGATGCATTTCTTGATTCCATTACTTTATTTTCATGAAAATCTAATATTTCAAATTTATGTACCAGAAATCGATTAGCACTACTGTTATGTGCATATACGATGAAGATGCAACCACTGTTTTAGGTTCAATAGTGACCTTTTTTGGTCGTGGTACCACAACTTTTTCCAAGCACCCCCACATTTTTGAGGTATTTATACGATGGTAAATTACCTTTCCATAATTCATATGGAGTTTTGCTAGTTACAAAAGGAGATGTTTGATTGCAACCCTACTTATCATGACTGGAGATCCCAAGACGTAGGTTCAAAGGGAAAAAAAATTAAACAAAATCTAACCAAAGCACTTGAGACAAGTAGTCTCTTCCCAGCTCCTAAGATGATAAAAGTGCTAACGAATGTGAGAAGGATAAGCATAAGCTTTTAATGATTCCATAGCTTCTAAAGCGAAGTATTACTCAATACTTTTCATGGTCATATCACCTAGTGAGTGTGAAATGAGGCCATTTCTAGGAGAATGAATACAAGGCTATATTGTGTGAATTCACGCATGAAAACTAGGAATAATTCAGGGCCACAGCGAACACAATAGAGAACTAAGTTCTACGAAAAAATGAAGCTGCGTTATGCATGTTGTCTCGGTTTACATAAAACATTGGTTGGTTCAAGACATCATGTTCACCTTCTGGTAAAGTAAACCCAACAGATATTAACTATGAGTGGTTCAAGGCTTAAAATGCCACCAACTCAAACACTGATTTTTTTGCAAACACTCTCGATAAGTCTGTCTAGTTTAGTCAAGATTAGAATAAGTAAAAAAAAAATTGAGTCTATCGAATCTGCATGTCTGCATATGTTTAGAGTCCAAACGCTCACGCACCATCCGACCGCTGGAGAGAAACAGATCTAGGATTGGTTCGCGAGAGAGAAAAGGTAAAGAGAGAAAAAGGAGTTTCTGGAATATGAAGCCCCTAAAGAATATAAATGTTTTGACGAATTAGATTAACTCATATGATTTCTCTCAAAAAAATAATACGATAGATTATATTTGTAAAACGCATTTTAGATGGTGAGGCTGCGGTCGATATGCATGACTACAAAACACAATATTGCACTTGCTTGTAGACGAGAAACCGTCTAGGAATTAAAGTACTCGATCACAGAATCTGAATGCCACATATAGTTCCAACTAGTACATGTTTTGGTATTTCAGCGCTAAGTCCTCACAAATCTATCAAAATTAATATAATAGATTTGACGTTTGTCACAATCTTGTAATGGTAACATTTTAACATTCTTTTGACGTGTGATAAAAAACGCTGAGGACATTTCCAATTTTAGAATACGATCGAGTTATGATTCATAGTACTTCTGGTACCTTGAAAACCAAAAAGAAAAAGATAGAGGAAAAAGTTTGTTGCATCACCACTTTCACATATAGAAAATCGAATTTGAGATGAAGCGTAAAATATGGTAACAATACCAAGCAAAAGAAGTTATGTTTCCCCTGCATAAATACTTAGAATCACCCAAATGACAAAACGATTCATCCACAACAAAACTTGCTTTTGAGGGGAATCACAGAAGTTTTCTTTTTCTTTTATTTTTTTTTGTAGGAAAGGGTTAGTTATACGTAACACATAATATATATAATAATATGGAGGGAAGGTTATTGACGGTGTTGGTCTGCCTCGTCTCTACGGTGGCCATTGTGAACGCCGGGGATCCTTACTTCTTCTATACATGGAACGTGACTTATGGAACAGCCTCACCTCTCGGTGTTCCTCAAAAGGTGATTCTTATCAACGGTCAATTTCCTGGTCCTAACCTAAACTCAACCTCTAACAACAACGTCGTCATCAATGTCTTCAACAACCTCGACGAGCCTTTCCTCCTGACCTGGTAACTTAACAACATATATAATCTTCATCCTTTGTTAGATTATGATCTTACCAGGGGGTTAGCCCTAAGGTTTTTTTTTCAGTTTATTTGGTTGGCAATATTCAGTTTGGATTAGTTCGGTTCAGCCACAATCTCCCCATAATTTAACCCAAAAAAACTTGGCTGGTGAAATTTTTGGTTTTAATTTTTTTTTTGTTTCGGTTAGATTTTGACATTTGTTTTAAATAAACTCTGATAATTCCGGTTAAATTTGTTTTTGTTTTTTTGGTAAACCAAACTCAAAACTGGAATTGAACTGAAAACCAAAATTTTTGGTTCGGTTCATATCTGCAGCTAATTAGGGTTGTTGACTTGCTGTTAGAATACCTTGTCCGCCTGTCCAGTTTTATGTGCAAAACCTCTGTTCGCTGACTGACTCCTATGTAATATGAGTACTAATGGTGGAATTAATGTGGTTGCAGGAGTGGGCTCCAGCACAGGAAGAACTGCTGGCAAGATGGTGTGGCTGGGACTTCATGCCCAATCCCAGCAGGACAGAACTTCACTTACCATTTCCAACCAAAGGACCAGATCGGCTCCTATTTCTATTACCCGACCACTTCTCTCCACCGCTTTGCTGGTGGGTTTGGTGGTCTCCGTGTCAACAGTCGCCTCCTTATTCCCGTTCCTTACGCTGACCCCGAGGATGACTACACTGTCCTTATCAATGACTGGTACACAAGTGGCCACACCGCTCTCAAGAACTTCCTTGACAGTGGACGCACCCTTGGATTGCCTAACGGTGTTTTGATCAATGGAAAGTCTGGAAAGGTTGGTGGAAACAACGAGCCTTTGTTCACAATGAAGCCAGGAAAGACATACAAGTACAGGCTATGCAATGTTGGATTCAAATCTACTCTCAACTTCAGGATCCAGAACCACAAGATGAAGCTTGTGGAGATGGAAGGCTCTCATGTTCTTCAGAACGACTATGACTCACTCGATGTCCACGTTGGCCAGTGCTTTTCAGTTCTTGTGACTGCTAACCAGGAAGCTAAGGATTACTACATGGTTGCATCAACCAGGTTCCTAAAGAAAGAACTAAGCACGGTTGGTGTGATCCGGTACGCAGGAAGCAACGTCCAAGCCTCAGCAGAGCTCCCCAAGACTCCTGTTGGTTGGGCTTGGTCTTTGAACCAGTTCAGATCTTTCAGATGGAACCTCACTGCTAGTGCTGCAAGGCCTAACCCGCAGGGATCATACCACTATGGAAAGATCAACATCACCCGTAGCATCAAGCTTGTCAACACTAAGAGCATGGTGAACGGTAAAGTCAGGTTTGGGTTCAACGGTGTATCACACGTTGACAGCGAGACTCCTTTGAAGCTGGCTGAGTACTTCCAGATGGCAGATAAAGTGTTCAAGTACGACATCATCAAGGACGAGCCTGCAGCTACAATCACAGCATTGACTGTGCAGCCTAATGTGCTTAACATCACTTTCCGCACCTTTGTAGAGATCATATTCGAGAACCATGAGAAGAGCATGGAGTCATTCCATTTGGATGGTTACTCCTTCTTCGCAGTCGCGTAAGCACTTTGTGGCTCCCTTATCTTTAATCTATAATCTGTATTTTTCTTTAACGCTCTCTTCTTTCAGCTCTGAGCCAGGGAGGTGGACACCTGAAAAGAGAAAGAACTACAACTTGCTGGATGCGGTTAGCAGACACACAGTGCAAGTTTACCCAAAGTCATGGTCAGCTATTCTCTTGACATTCGACAACGCTGGTATGTGGAACATCAGGTCGGAGAACTTGGAGAGGAGATACCTTGGACAACAATTGTATGTGAGTGTTCTCTCACCGGAGAAATCGCTAAGGGACGAGTACAACATCCCCCTCAACACTAACCTCTGTGGCATCGTCAAGGGCTTGCCATTGCCTGCAACCTACACTTAAGTTAAGTAACTATACTCCTCCACAACTGGGGTGTGTTATTAATTTTCTAATTAACCCTTTTCCTATAATTTTAAAGTGTGTAATTTGTAAACTACCAGTTCTACCTGTTTTCATTAACCAAAATCAACACACAAAGTTTTGCTTTCTCATTGCGACTAAAATGCATAGGAACGCAAGCAGCTGCTTGTAATTATAGATGTAAAGTTAAAAAAAAGATACGTCAGAATACAATGAGGCTTGGGTTGAAACAAAACAGAGGAATAGCAAACGAGAAGTGACCACCACTTCTTGATCATAAAACCTAAAATATCATCTGAAACAGAGTTTTTGTGCCAATGGAGCAACCAAGTAACAAAAGACGAGACAATTATATTCCACATCATTAAGATCACTGATGCTTCAACTGATTACATAATAATTTTTTTTTAATATAAATAAAAAACAAGACAACTAGACAATCTATATCTAAAAAGCTTAAAACCTTTTTGTCATTACCCCAAGAAAGACATGACAAAACTACTACTGGCTTCTATCATTAAATAACCAGAACTAACTTTTATTCAAAATAATACATACTTCAATTTTTATTGAAAAAAAGATAAACTTGCATCGTTTGGTGTTGTTGGATCAATTGAAGATCACCTGCGGCTTTTTTTACTGTTGTGTTAACCCGTTGAAGAAGTTACTACCATAGCCCACATCAATAAACCCTAATCCCAAAAGTATGCGTAAGCTTAATGCCTCAAGTTTCTGCACAAATGTATAATCTCTTCCTGCAACAAACACACAGAATCTCAAAAGAAAAAGAAAACAGAAAAAGCGTTTGCGTTTGTGAAATCTTAACTAAAGAACACAAACATGGATCTAAATAGTTCACCTGTCTGGACCAATATTCCTTGTGGGCCAAGAAATGGTGGAGCTACATCCTCCTTGAACTCCAATCCTCTCTGATAATTCGGTAAAGGCTGCTTGAGTTCTAATAGCAATCCCGAGGCCTGTGAATCTTTTTTCCGAGCCGCGCTTCCATCCACTCCAAACCATGCATCGTATCGGAAACTTGGAAGATGAAGAGATCCATTGTCTTCTTCATTAGGGTTAGGGTTAGGGTATTTGGACAGAATCTGATCCTCTGTTTCGGCAGAACAGAGACACTCCGGCTCAAACTGATCTTTAAGCAACAGTGGATGTTTAATCTCTGTTTTGGACTCTTCGATATCTTCCAATGTTTTACTTCCATTGGATGACCTTTCCCATGATATGTTTCTGCTTACTCTGAGTTTCTTGTCGAGCAAGTAACTTCTGTTTTCGGATTGCGAATGAAGCCAACTGTTAATCCTTGAAAACTCTGTTCCACCCTCTTTCTGGTTAACATTTGTATTGTGCTCACACACGACCAACTTAATGTCACATTCAGATATCTCCTGACTATAAACCGTAGCTGCGTTGTCTGCTCTATTGTGACTTATAGCGCAAGTCGACTTCGAAATGCTCCTCTCTGATGAGTCACACAGAGAATCAAATCCGTCCTTCATCCGAATACACACAGATTCAGATCTGAAATGCGCCATTGAGTTCCTTCTAGACTTGAAACCTGGACCATTGGAGACTGATCTAAAGTCTGCCCCTGATAATCTTCGGTTGCTGCTAGCTGTTGGTCTCATGAAGCTAGAAAAAACATCTGAAGCACGTCTTGATTTGTTTCTCTTTAACTTTGGAGTAACTTGAATCTCTTCTCTTATCTCATCCACTTCTTCAATAACGTGTGGTTTACCAGAGAGTTTCTCTAATGTCTCGTTAAGATGTCTGATCTCTTTTAACTTTGTCTCACGCTCTTTCTCGATCGTTTCCATCATATTCTGCAGACACCTCATCACAGTCTCCTTTCTCTCTCGTTCTTCCTACGCGTCAAAAGAATGTTTAACCCATCAGAAAAGTACAACACTCTAAAGAAAGTTGACGTGTTAAACAAGTTATTTGATTCCATTTACCTTTGATTCGTCCTGTCCTAAGTGGATGTTCTTTGCCCTCGTTGCGAAATTTAAAGAGCATATGGTTTCACACAGATCATCTTCTTTCCGGCTGATATGAACAAGCATCAATGTCTTTGAGTCTTGCCCTGATAAGAAGAGAACAAATATCCTAACAGTTCAAATATCTCCACCAAAAAAATAGAAGCTGAATAGAGAACTGAATAGGTAACCCTAATGTCTAAACTATAGTTTATATGTTTGAGAATATTAATTAAAGAGTTTTTGGAAGATTTTAGTTACCGAGAGAGTCTTTCAGAACTTGTGTAAGCTTGCTGTTCCTGAAACACATAACATAAAAAAGCTCAAAAGTTCCAGACATTGAGATTTAAAGGGTAAAAGTAAAAAGAGAAAAAAAGAAACTGATATGTTTACCTGTAAGGAATGTGAGCATTCTTGCGTTGAAGAGAGTTGATGACATCACCGAGAGCAGATAAAGAGAGATTAATGGCTTTGCCTTCATCAAAACGGCGACCAGTGGCTTTAGTTTTCAACACGCGCTCACTTCCTCCAAGATCCACTAGCCATATCTTGTTTCTTTCACGCAGTCTCTCAGGAGCTCCAGCACAAGTAATCGATACACGGATCATACTGTTTCATGATTCAAGATCAGAGACCATAATGTGTAACAGAAACATACAGAAAATAACATTTGAGTTTCTTACCAGTGTGATCTGCTGGATGCAGAGTTAGAGTTAGTGAAGGCAGTTGCTCTGCTTCGACAACCTAATTTGTATAACTTGAAGACTTCATCAGAGTCAGTCACTTTAAGAGTCACCAAGTTCTCGATATCTATCTCTCCTTTTGGGTCTGTGTGAATCAGAAGACTGAAAAGAAAAGAAAAACTCGTTGAGTTCAAATCCTATCCCTCAGTGAAGATTCTCTGCGCATGTTATTATTTACCTTGGAGGAATAGGACTAATGGGTTTAGTTCCTTGAGAAACAAGCAAGTCTCTGAGATTCCCCATGTAAATCTCAAGCATACTAAACTTGATTACAAACTTATGATTGCTTTGCTCCACTTGTTTGAACAATGCCTTGATTGCTCGAGGAACGATTCCTGGTGATTCTGGAAGACCTTCCTGCAAAATCATTCTCCCTTGTTACATATCAACTTCAAGAAGATTCAAGAAACAAGAAATGGAACCAAAGAGAGAAATGTTCTGATTAATCCTGTTTCTTACCATTGTAAATGTTTTTCCAGTACCAGTCTGTCCATACGCAAAAATGCAAGCGTTGTAGCCATCAATAACCGATTTGATTACTGGTTCAATCTCTAAGAAAACATCATCTGACAAAATTTGAATACTATCATCAACAACACTTTCATGTATGTGTGTAATCAGTCTTAGGGCGTTATGGAGCCAGGTGAAACATTATTTTATTCCCCTAAAATCTAAGGTCATAAGAAAACGACGCCATCATGGAAAATTCTTAAAAGAAGATCAAAGCTACTTACCTTGTGATGAATCAGGTTGGAAAACTCTGTCGAAGTTGTAGGTTTTTCTCTTGCTTTCTGTTAACTTGATGATAACGTTTCTTGTGTCCGAAGAAACCGGTGCTCTTGAGTTTTTAGAGTCTAGGGGTTTGACTCGACAAAACACACGAATGTTTCCTGACCAGTATCAAAACTGAAACCGATGAAACTAGTCTTAAACTGAAAACTTACATTAACAAATGGTCAATTCTCTAAAATAACTTTCTTTTAAGTTTTTATCACAAAAATATACCTCAAAAATTAAAATTACCAAAATAGCATTTTTTATTTTGAAAAATTTAAGGTTTTTAAATTTTTTAAAATTCGAAAGCTTATCCCAAAATCTCACTCCTCAAATCTAAAAAAAAAAATCTAGGATTAGTTAATCCAAGGGGTATAAATGTATATTTAATAAAACATTTAAGTGTTATTTTGGTCATTTTAATTGTTAAGGTCTATATTTGTGATAAAAAAAAATTTTAGGTCTATTCTAGTTATTTTTTTTAACTAACGAATCCTACTTTTTTTTTTTTTTTGTTTAAATGTATTACTAACCTTTAAGGTCCAAAAACTCGTTAAGAATCTCTCTTCTACGTTTGTTCTGATCATTTACTTGAACTGTTAGTCTAGAGAGCTGATCTGTAATTTAACAAAAAAAACAGGGGAAACAGAGCAAGGCCCTTATGCAACATAACAACTTAATAAATAAATAATGACTGAAGTTCAACGGTTGAGATGCGTTACATGTTATACCTCTAATGCTCTGTACTTCGACGAAAGCAGACTCATCTTCTTCTTTTGATGTTGAGGAAATCTCAGAAGAAGAAGAGACGTTCTTGGAGATGTCGCAGACAGATTTCACCCAAGACGAAGTGAAATGATATTTCAAACCGATCAATGAATGGATTGTCTCAGGCAAATTCCCAACCGGTCTCGACATGGTCCTCTCCATTACACCAAACCCAACTGATCTTGAACAGTTAACAGAACAAGGATTCAGATTATGATATCACTGAGCTTTTGATGATCAAGTGAAAGAAGTGCTGAAACTGGGGTCAGAGCTCATCAATGGCAGAATCTGGTGATTTGCTTTTGCTTTTAGAGGGCTAGAAACTTGGAGAGAATGTTCTTCATGATAACCTTGGAGGAAAGATTTTTGTAGCACTATTCAATATTACCAACTGGAAAATAATAATTTAAATTAACTATTGTTAAAGTAAATTAATTACTATTACCCCTTTTTAACTTTAACAATATTGATGAAATGTTGCTACTTAGAATGTCATTGGTCAAACTAAAATCTAACAGGTTTAAAAGCTGCATATGAGTTCATATGTTATCAATATTTACAGATTTTTTTCCTTTCTTCCAAAACAATTTACTTGGACCAAAAAAAAAAAAAACAATTAACTTGGACCTGAATTTAGAGGTTATGTTTTACTTTTATATAACTTAATATGTTAGACTAAGATCTGTATATTACCAAATGGAAAATATGACTAACATAGCCACACTTAGTGAATTTTATTTTATTTTTTGTGCTTTTTAAAATTAATTTCCTTTTTACAGTTTACCACAAAGATATAATATTAATGACAAATACCAAATATTAGGTGTTTTCCAGCACGTGCGGGCTTAATTTTCTTTAATCAATTAAAAATCATCAAAATAAATGATTATTTGCATCAAAAAAATTTGACTTAAAATATTAAACTTTTTTTACATGATAAAGTTATTCACAAATTAAAAAAAAAAATCTATTTTTATCTTTAAAACTTTGAAAAATATAAAGTATATTTCATTTTTTCTTAATTGATATAAAATATAGAAATCTATCTTTCAATTTGAAAAATTGAATCAATATACATTCAAAAATTGATCTTACAGAAAGAATAATATTAGTTTGGATAATAATACAATATATTTAAATTTATTTTTGTCAACACATATTTTCTTTCTTTTTGAATGATCTTTTATTTTATTATGATTAATTCATGTTTAAGGTTTAATTATATAAAATATAAAAATAAATTTAATTTAACATGTGAGTTCAGAGGTGAAAAATAAATTCACAAATAGACATCATTATATTATATTATTGTATACTTTTAATTTGAAAATAATTTCGTTTTATCATATTTTCAATTTTCTCTTTTCAATTATATACAATTAAAAATTTTACTTTATGAATATTTATTTATGTGTTTTCTGTTTTTAAATATCTTTTATTAAAATATATTTTCCGGATAACAACATATATATATAAGAATTATCTTTTTATTTTTAAATATATATTAAAATTATGGATAATTCTTATCATTAATAAATATTTAAATCATTTATCTAATCAAATAAATATTAAATTCGTTTTTATTTTTTGCTGATTTATATCTTTTATTCATTAAGGGTATAAACGATATTTTACGTATTATCATATTTTCAATTTTATATTTTCAATTATATACAATTATAAATTTTACTTTACGAATATTTATTTATGTGTTTTCTGTTTTTGAATTTCTATTATTAAAATATATTTTCCGGATAACAACATAATATATATAGGAATTATCTTTTTATTTTTAAATATATATTAAAATTATGGATAAATCTTATCATTAATAAATATTTAAATCATTTATCCAATCAAATAAATATTAAATTCGTTTTTATTTTTTGCTGATTTATATCTTTTATTCATTAAGGGTAAAAACGATATTAGTCACTCTAACTTTTAACGTGGGAGCTCCATTGCGAAAAATCACTTCGCAAATAATAGTATAGATTAGTGCGTATAATATTTTACATAAACTATTCATGTTTAATGGATATCTTTATAAATAAAGTAGATTTATTTCTCTCCTTGGGGCATTTTTTACAAGTGTCGCTTGTTTGCATGTTTCTGAATTTTGTTTGGGTTTTTGGATAGATTGATAACTTTCACATTTCAAGTTCGGGTCCATACTGAATAAATCTCTTTGTTTCAGTTATCATCTCGACAACCCTATTTTTTTCCTCTACAGAACGGCGAAGATCATAACGGATGTGAATCACTTCAAGAGGTCACCATTAACCTTGTCATTCATTCACAGTTAAAGCAAGAACACACTACGTCTCATTGATTTCCCATCACCGTCTTCTTTAGTTTCATCGCAAACTCTCTAATATCTCAAACAGTCAAACCTATAAAAAGGGTCTGCGGCTGCCATGGTTTTCACAGTTTCATATCACTGTACAACTCAACATACAGTTACAAAACTTGAAGAACAATGGCGACTTCCCAGATATCGCTTTCCGAGTGGAAGGCCTGACGTTGACGAAACTTTTTTGCACGCCTTCTTTGTTTCAGGAAGCTTGGAATGTGAAGAAAATTAGTCAAAGTCGACATGCTACTCTTGAATGATAAGGTATAATTTCATTGATCCTGTTTTGTGTTTGTCATTTTCGTCTCACTTTTTTTATTTTAGATACATTGATAAAGTATTACATTCTTCGTATCGTATCAATGACCGTGGACTCTGACTCAGCTCGCTTCTTCATGAGTCCACGAAAAGGTCCACTCGGAAACACGCCGCTGATAACAATCAAGGTGACGAATCGCCACTTAATAAGCATATGTAGCTGAACTATTTAATCTAGCAACCATGTTTATGGTTTTGTTACTCTCTTCTCTTAGGGAATGTTTGCGGATTGTGTGTTTATATGAGTGGTTCTACGTAAATGTAAGCAATTGAGGATTTTTAGGTTATGCATTTTAATGATTTCCTTAGGTTATGCTTTTGGTTGATTTTCCATTGATGTTTTCATTATATTTAGTATGATTTGTCTGTGTTTCTTTTGATGCGATCTTCTTCTACTTTCCAATCATTTTTTGTTTGTGGCCACGTAGGTTCAGACCCAATTAACTCAGTAATCACCCATTATTTCTTCCCGGTTGTGGAATTCTAGCGTCGGCAACAACGGTGTTGGCCGGGGATGGTCATGGTGTTACTGGGTCATGCTTTCCTTAGACTCACAGGTTTGGGTCAGTCGGATGGAATGACCGGATCATCGAGGGTAAAGTCGCCGCTGTGGTGGAGCCGTTGAAGAATTTCCGGTGTTGACAAACGTTCAAGAAGTTCTCAGTATAGAGGTAATACGCTTTACTGCAAACTACTGAATCAATGTAGGCTGTCTTATGTTCAAGTGTTGCACTTTCTTTTGTAACATTTACTTATTTTGTGATAACTGGATTTTTTTTGCTAGGATCATCTATATGAAAATGAAATAGCCAGTGAGGAGTTTCGTTTATGAAAATGTAATTCTCACTTGATGTATTCCCCCATGATTATAGATAGCAAGCTCTCTAGCATCTTAAAGATTTCAAGTGGATGTCAAATAGATGATCACGCGTAAGAAAAGAAGCGGCTAGGGCTTCCAGCGGAGTCTTCTTGGCGATCATGGGGGATGTGTTTCAGATCGGTGGTTTCCCTTGAAACTTTGATCCCTTCCTCACCACACTGTCCATCGACAGTGGTTTCTGCTTATGCTTCTTATCTCTTTGACGAAAGCAACGTTTTTTCTCGATTTCTTCTCCTGCACTCAACGGCGCCGGTGACTGCTACGATAACTACATCGCGGGGGATTCGTCGAGACTCAACAACACCTGACTCAAGGCATTCCGGGGCTTCGATTACGGCTTCTTAGATCTCTGCTGACTGATTTGATCGCTCCTCCGGTGCATCTAAGGCTCTGGTTTTTTTATTATCAAAACAGAGTACTTTCAGAGATACTGTTCAGAGAGTTGTTAAAGTACATTCTTTGGCGTATTCATCCTCTAGTTCATCTCTTATCAGTACATCCATTGGTGTATTGCTCCGCTACTGCATCACTGGACTCGCATTGTTTGATCTGTTACTTAACCGATCGCATAGTATGGGTTCTTTTAACCACTCGTCAGCTCATATGGTTGACTCAAAAGAAAAATCAATCCTAATTGATGATGATGATGAGCCAATAAAACTCACAAAGCAAGACGATGCCTTTGTCATCAAGGAATTCCGTTTATCTTTGATCGGAAAGATCCTCAACCCTAAGAAGCAATGTGTTGAAAAGCTAATTCAGAAGATGCCACAGCAGTGGGGTGTCCAGGATAAGGTTACGGCTAATGACCTAGGAAATGGCAAGTTTCTGCTCAACTTCAACACCGAAGAAGACTTAAATGGTGTACTCCGTCAGGGCCCTTTTCACTTCAACTATTGTATGTTCGTGCTGGTGCGTTGGGAGCCTATTGTTCACGATGACTACCCCTGGATCATTCCTTTTTGGGTTACTTTCATTGGGATGCCATTGCATCTGTGGACTGACAAGAATTTTAGAAACATTGGGGGAAGGTTAGGTGAGGTTGATACCGTAGACCTCTCAGAGGTTCGTCTCCTCATCCACATTGATTCACGCAGACCTCTGAAGTTTAAGCGGAAAGTGCAGAGCCCAGAGGGAGACGAGGTCACTATAGAAATTAAGTATGATGCGCTCTTCAAGCATTGTACAATCTGCGGTTTAATGACACATGAGAAAGGTTACTGCCCTACTTCAGGCCAACCAGAGAAAGGGAATTTTTTCACTCGTGTCCAGGTACCACACGATGAGAATGATCATCAGTCTTTGCTGAGTGATCAACCTTCTCATAGGCGTGAATACAACAGACCCGGTTATGGGGATGGACACCATGCCTTGTCCATGAATCCTCATCACTCCAACAGGCGCGAGATGGCGGAATCTCGCATGGTACCTTCACGAACCGAAAACAATGAAAGCCATAAAGTCGACAACAACTATCGTATGCGCTATCGAGGTGGTTCTCAAGGGCCCCGCAAACACGATGATCGGATCATTAGAAGGGGAGGAGCTAAGCAAAGGATAACTATCCTCTCCATGCATACAGGCCTTATGATCGTAGGAGGGATCAATCTTGGCGTGAAAAGCAGAAGGACAAGAAGGATGATAGTGTGGCTCGTGGAAAGGTTGATCATAGATCATCCGGTGCAATTGTTCCCTATGAACAATCACGCTATACATCTGAAAAGGTACCCGAGAGATCAACTCCTCCTAAACATGATGATTCTTATGATCAAAAGGGAGAGGGATCAGAGACAATTCGCCACGAGGGAAGGAAAAAAGTTGCCAGTACAATTATTTCTCCAGCGCTTAGGATTCAATCAATGGAAGAGAATGTGACTATCCGAAGCAAGAGTATCACACGTTCTCTTACTTTTTCACCTAGACCGGCGAAAAATGATGCACAAGATGCGCAAGTCATCGAAGCTTTGAGTGGGATGGATCATCAAGCTGCTGAGAATGAGGTTCAGTTAATGGATGAAGATGATCTTCTAAGTGAGGAACTCTGAGATATTGAATCAACAACATTAGTAACAGCGACAACATATTCTCAACCATCATCAAGGACTTCTAGGAATCCGAGGAATGTTATTAGAAGGACCGCCCCCATGGGTATCCAAAATAAGAAGCAAGGGTTCCCCCGTCGAGGTTCTCCACACCTGAGATCGAAAATCTCCTCTAATCAGCGAATGCCTGCTGAGAATCAGAGACCAAGGCACGCAGAGTCAAGTTCTAAGAAGTCACGTTCGAGATCAAACAAAGAAGGTGGTTCGATGGGATCCAAAAACCCATCCCCACTCCATCCATGAGGACAATCAGTTGGAACTGTCGAGGGATTGGAAGCAACCTCACAGTTCGACGCCTTACAGAGATGTGTCAGAAGCATCGCCCAGGACTTGTGTTTCTTTCTGAGACGAAGAATAGAAGGCTGCTGTTGCAAGACATTCAGGCTGACTTAGGATTTGATCATTTGTTTACCGTTGAGCCACTTGGACTCAGCGGTGGTTTAGCTTTATTTTTTATGGATGAATTTCAAGTTAATGTTTATTTTCAAATAACAGAATGATTGACATTGAGGCAATCATTGATCGAATAAAAGTCTACATGACATTTGTTTATGGGGATCTTGTACTAGAAAGAAGAGATTTAGTTTGGGAGCGTCTTACGCGTTTCTCAACAACAAGAAATGGACCCTGGTTCATGATAGGAGATTTTAATGAAATTACCTGTCATGCAGAGAAGGAAGGAGGTAGACAACGCCATGATAGCTCCTTTCTACCCTTTAGGCAAATGTTAAGTGATTGTGGTATGCTGGAGTTCCCTTTCACAGGAAACATGCTGTCTTGGGTTGAAAATAGAGCAGGGAGGACGCAGTTAGATGCCGTCTTGATAGGGCAGTTGAGAATGAGGACTGGCATGAGAAATTCTCTCATTCCAAAGTGAAGTATATGAGACTCTGGGGATCGGATCATCGTCCGATACTAGCTGATATCCTAAAAAGAAACCTAGGAGAACAAGAAACTTCATATTTGATAAGAGATGGTTGGATAACGACGAGCTCAGGCAAATTATACTTGAGGGATGGAAGTCATCGGACCTCCCACCAGACGCAAGTATAATGGAGCATATTGCCAGTTGTCGGCGAGCATTAAGTGAATGGAAAAGGCAGCATAATCTGAACTCCGAGAAAACAGTGGAGGAACTAAAGGAAAAGGTCGATCGCTTATCCTCAAATGATGATGCCACTAGTGAGGAGATTGCGGCAGCTATTAAGGAACTATCTGACGCTCTTAAGGCGGAGGAGATGTTGTGGAAACAGAAGTGTCGGGTTTTCTGGTTGAGAGAGGGGGATAAGAATACTAAATTTTTTCATTCCCTTACGAAGCAAAGGAGAGCAAGGAATAGGATTACCCAATTACTGGACGAAGATGAAAATGTTGTGGAGGATGAGGAAGGGTTGGTAGCCATTGCTACAAATTATTTTAGACACATCTTTCAATCTTCAAATCCTGAGGCAATAGAGGAAGCACTCTCTGAAGTATTTAGAACAATTACCTCAACAGATAATGCGACTTTAACAGCCCCGGTCACTGAGTGGGAGGTTAAACTAGCTCTTTTTGCGATGCACCCAGAGAAAGCTCCAGGACCGGATGGAATGACGACGTTGTTCTACCAGAAATTCTGGGATATTGTAAAGGATGATCTAACTCTTATGGTTATTCAATTCCTTTTCGAGGGAATGGTGCCATCTGGCCTAAATGACACCAATATATGTCTCATTCTAAAAGTGTAGAAGACAAATCAGATGAGTCAGCTACACCCTATTAGCTTATGCAATGTTAGCTACAAGATTATCTCTAAGGTCTTATGCCAGAGATTAAAGAATTTTATTCCAGATAGGATCTTAGAGACCCAATCAGCCTTTGTTGCTGGGAGACAGATATCTGATAATATTATGATAGCTCAGGAGTTGTTCCATGCTCTAAGAACAAAACCGAGTGGCCGAAACAAGAGGATGGCTATCAAAACAGATATGAGCAAGGCCTGTGATAGAATGGAATGGTCCTTCATTGAGGCAACCATGAGGAAGATGAGCTTTTCTGAAGTTTGGATAACTATGATAATGAGACGTGTAACTTCAGTAAAATATAAGGTCCTTATGAATGGACAGCCAAGAGGGAATATTGTCCCGGAGAGAGGTCTACAACAAGGAGATCCTCTGTCCCCTTTCATATTTATTATGTGCACGGAAGCGCTCGTTAGCCTTCTAAATCACGCAGAGAATCAAGGGAAGATAACGGGGATGCGCATTACCCGTGTGTGTCCCTCGGTATCTCACCTTCTCTTTGCTGATGATAGTCTGTTTTTCTGTAAGTTGGAGCCCCGTGAATGTGAAGAAGTAATGAAAGTGGTCACGATATATGGACAAGCTTCAGGACAATGCATCAATTTTGGGAAGTCTTCTTTACTCTTTGGTAAAAGAATCGGACAGGAGGTGAGACAAGAGATCAAAGACACACTTGGGATTCAAAATGAAGGAGGAATGGGGTCATATATGGGTATACCAGAGGATATCAGTGGGTCCACATGTAAGCTCTTTGCTTTCCTTAAGGACAAGCTGAGAAGTAGAGTGAATATTGGACTGGGAGATGGCTTTCTAAAGGCGGGAAAGAAGAAATAATAAAATCAATCCTGCTTGCCCTTCCGACGTATGTAATGTCTTGTTTCCTTCTCCCATTGGAGATTTGTGAGAATCTAGCTAGTGCCATTGCACAATTCTGGTGGACCTCAAATCCGCCAAAAAGGGGTATTCGCTGGTCAACATGGGACAAATTACGCTTACCCAGAGAGGAAGGCGGTATTGGTTTTAGGATGATTCATGAGTTTAACCTGGCGCTACTGGCAAAACAATTATGGCGACTAGTACAAAACCCGGATTCTCTGGTTGCTCGCGTCTTGAGAGGTCGGTATTACAGATTGAGTACGCCTTTGCGTCAAATCAATACTAGTAGTCCCTCATATGTGTGGACAAGCATATCGGCCGGAAGAGAATTGCTACTATTAGGAATTAGACAAAAAATTCATTCGGGGTATGAGATTAAAGCTTGGGAGGACCCTTGGATTCCCGCTATACCTGCGAGACCGGCAATCCCTTTGGCACCGGTTCTGCATCCGAATATGCGTGTGAGCGATTTGATTAACCAAACAACAAAGACTTGGGATGAAAGACGACTTCATGATTACATTAATGCGGATGACATTCCACTCATCAAGAGCATGGCTATTAGTTCCACACACCGATGGGATACGTACTGCTGGAGCTATACAAGGAGTGGACAGTATACCGTTAAATCTGGATACTGGGTAGCACGAAAAATCTTGAAGAAGGAAGATGAAACTGAAGTATGTGAGCCTAATATCAAAAAGTTCCAAGCACATGCGTGGAAGGTCAGGGCTCCCCAAAAGATTTGCCATCTTATGTGGCAGGTGATTACAGGACATGTAGTTGTCACAATCATTTTAAACTACCGGCATATGAGATGTGACAACCACTGTCCTCAATGTGGGGAGCCAGAGGAGACGATCACACATGCAATATTCGAATGTCCACCTGCTTTACAGGTCTGGGCGCTATCATCTACGCCTACCAATCCAGCTATGTTTCCAGTTCAAAGCACGTACGCGAATATGGATTATCTGTTCTGGAGGAAGAATGCAATAATGGAACTGGAATTGGATATGGATCCTTATCCTTGGCTAATCTGGTACATTTGGAAGGCTAGGAATGATAAGTTATTCAAAGGTATTGACAGGGATCCATTAGAAGTGGCGCGTTACGCAGAGAGTGAATGCCAAGCATGGTTCCAAGTAAATGAGCAGGAAGTACCGTCTCCTCTTGGGGATGGAATAGGTGAAGACCAGGCCTTAAGCTTGGGAAACATCTGCATGGTGGATGGATCTTGGACTTCAACGGACTCCTTCAGTGGATGTGGGTGGGTTTTGATTGATACTTCTGGAAATAGCCAGCTACTGGGGGTGCGTAATTTTGATCGAGTGAATCGGCGTTGCATTCAGAGTTGGAAGCACTGCGGTGGGCAATGGAGAACATGCTTCAACATTTGCCATGTCAGAGCTTTGGAACTGATTGCAAGGAGATGATCGAAATGCTCAGGAATCCTCAGGCATGGCCTAGCTTCTCAACAGAGTTGGAAAAATTGATGACGCTGAAGATCTGCTTTCCAGACTTCAAGATCTCTTATGTTCCTAGAATTCAGAATGGCGCTTCTGATTCTTTAGCTAAGTTAGCTAGGTCTTTTTATCGTAAGCTTGTGTACGTTGGTTGTTCTGTTCCGGTCTGGTTACCCAGACCACCTCAAGTCGCTTGAGTAATAGAGCAGCCGTTTGATGTCAAAAAAAAAAAAAGATTTGAAGTGGAATAGGGTTGAAGAACCAAAAGAGTTCACAGTTGAGCTATTTTTTGTGGTTTATTGCAATGACAAACAATGGATTACCATTTTGGAGATTCGTTATTACGATAAGTTTTTATGAAAATGTTATTCTCTTTCTTGATGGAAGTCCAATTATTTTGGATAAATAAGCAAGATGAATGAGCTCGCAAGTATCTCAAAGATATCAAATAGAATAGGGTTAAAGAACCAAAAAGATTCACACTTGATCTTTTCTTTGATCAGAACTCTTACCACCAGAACACTATCTTTACCAAGACATATCACATGACTGATACAGATAATTAGCTTATCCTCGAGAAGGAGTTTCATTACGAGTATATTTTAACAGAGCCGATTGACCCGATGTGTTTTCATTTCTCCCCAGAAGAATAGTGTAGGCACTAGGCAGCAATGAGGAATAAATAAAAGAAAATAGTCACGTAGGTCGGGTTTTTTAATTTGCAGTTGTGACCTAATTTATATGATATAAATATAAAGTCTTGACCTTTTGGGTGGTAGTTTTCTTAAGAGTAGTTTGGTTTCCTGTCTAATTTTTCATT